AGAGGAAATGCCTGTAACAAAGAAAGGCGATAGTCGACCGAGAACTGGCACCGTACAAGGTGAACATCGCCACTCTCAGTTAAACTCGCTTCTCCGAGCACGATCAGCTGGAGAAGGTGGGTGTCGGCGACACCTTCTTCAGAAGTGGCTGAACAGCTGCCATCCGGAACAATATCGTGGGACGACGGTCCGGCCTGCCACAAAACATCAATGACCGACTGATGGCCCTACGTCCGCCTTTTCAGGGACCCACATTCGCCCCCACTGATGAGGCAAAAGACAACTTCTATGAAGACCTGCACGCTCTCTTGACGTTTGTGTCGAAGGCGGATCAATTGGTTGTCCTTGGCGTCTTCAACGCCCGTGTCGCGATAGATCACCTTACCGGGCAGTGAGTGCTGAGTCCTCATGGTCTTGGCGGCTGCAATAAGAACGGCTTCTTTTTTCCGCACACCTACTGACCAACACATTCTTCCACCCTTCGACGCAGGAGAAGGCCACGCCAATTGCAGCAGTGGCAGCTGCTGGACTATATTCTCATCCGGAGGTGAGATTTATCGAGGAGAACTAAGGCTAAGAAAGTTTAACCTTAACGGCTGGGATCTTCCAGGCCAGGATCCTTAGGTGAAGAGAGAATTCACGGGAAGGCTAGAGTGGTGGGAAGAGTATATTCTGTACAGACTAAATGGGGGAATAGGCAGTAGGAAATTGACTATCAGACGACCACACAACCGCAAGCCAGCGGATGGCGTCTGAAGTGAGGTCTCCTCGGCAGTCGTCAATTGAGGTCCTTTGTGAGTCGGTCTGTGATTGGCTGTTACAGATACCGGAAACAGCAAGCACTTCCAAAAGTGCACTTCGTGTTGAGCCAGTCACTGCAGATTAACGGCACGTGCTGATGACCAGAGCGATCCGCGACGCCGGTGGCTGAACACATTATCACCTCTTTTCCCCAGAATGAAGCTCTACCTTCAACCCTGCGGAAGACTCCAAGGTAAGCAACCACCAGGTAAGTTAAGAAAACCTTTTGTGAAACTTGCCTGCTCATCGTCTCCATTTTAGCAATAACCCATCAAATGGAAGGATTGCCAGGTCTGCTCGCTGTCTTAAGTTCAGCAACCAATCATCCAAGAAACTGAAGGCTCTAGCTGATATCGCCACCGTGGATGCATATTGGTGTAGCGACCTCACATTGTAAGCCATGCTTTGCTCATATGCCTGTGGGAAACTACCCGAGTGTCTAGCTTTCGTGCCTACCAGTCTGTGCGCGCTAGACGATGTCAAACCTCCGATTAAGGTCACGGACGTATCTGGCCAACTGGCCAACTTCTTCCCAAGTCCACGTCACAAAAGGACCTTAAGTCGATGACCGTTTATTCTCAGACACTCCCGGAGCAGGTGACCTACTGCCTGTTGCAGACCTCCAGACCCGGCGACTACACCGACCGGAATGCGACTCTGAACTCCGGCCCACTCACTACTGGAGTGCACTCGTCTGGGAGTCACTTACTCATTACTTATATTCTACTAATTCAACACTTCATTAAATTATCCATAACACTCTGGCCTTCCACGTCTTATATCATCAACTAGTTAATAATCGTTGGGGTCCGTTCTATCGTTTACAGTGAGCGTGCAACATGCCGACATTTGCGAATCGTTAATCGGCACGGACTCAGGTTGTGAAACTCCTCATCCTGTAGCCTATTCTGAAGTTATTTCAGTCACGATAGGATGCGGGCTTCTTAACGAGCTTCGTTCTGGCCACACACAAAATGTATGTTCTGTAAAAAGTAACTAATCAAATAGTATGCGTTTTTATCAAGGATTTGAACTGCTTTTATAAATTCAAATATATTTTATGGAAAACATACACCAAAAATTATTTCTTGTACACGTTTGGTAGCAAATTATGCCTTCTTTAAATGTTATACTTAAAGACAGCGTATCTTTTGGTTTTAGAAAAATGTCCAATTATGAGCTTTTTTACGATGGTGGGGTGTTCATTCATAATACATCGTATCTGTCAATTTGTTAATGGTGTCTATGTTGTATAAAGCATGCTCCACATCTATTGAAACATTTTCTGAGAGCTATGGGACTTCTTTATCAAACTGTAGACAAAAAAATACTTTTCATTAAACAGAATGCACATAGTGCGCAGTTTGTAATCCTTGAATTCGACTGTAGCATTCAGTAGGTTTCAAAATTATTCGGCCATTTAGAAACTTTTTTAAAACCAAAAAATACACTTTATTTAAGTATAAAATTTAAAGAAGGCGTAATTTACTACCAAACGTGCAAGATGGACAAGACGGTGGCCCTGTATCAACAGCCACACAGCGTGGATCGGTTGCAACGACACTCAAATAAAACCTGTGGAGAACTTCGCCTATGCTGTTCGGGAGCACGAGAATCGCTAGTTCGGTTGCCCATCGGATCTCCAAAGCTAGCCAGGCCTTTGGCCGAGTCAACAACTCGGTATAGACTCGCCACGTTCTACGACTAGACACCAACATAAAAATGTACAAGGTTGCTGTCCTAACG